TCACCACAACTCTCTGTGCTCGGCTGTCCAGTCAGTTTTTAATCCAGCGAAGAGTAAACCTGCCCAAGCCATGAGCTGCCAGTTTCTCAAAGAGAAGCTGGAGAAAGCTGGTTCTTCTAGGAGAACCACCGCCATAGGAAGCAGCGGCAGGCTGTGCACACCCTGGTTAACCCCGCGTTTTACCTGCATAGTTGGGCTCCTGCTCTTCAGCTTCATCTGGACCATCCATCGGCTCCAGATAGGCTGCTGGCACCCAGCCTCGTTTATTCTTCAACTGGCAAAACCACCACCCTGCAATGAAAGCAGCCAGGGGCAGGAGTGGGTGTTGTGGGGGCACCAGCACTGGTCCCCGGATGCACACCCTGGTTAACCCCGCGTTTTACCTGCATAGTTGGGCTCCTGCTCTTCAGCTTCATCTGGACCATCCATCGGCTCCAGATAGGCTGCTGGCACCCAGCCTCGTTTATTCTTCAACTGGCAAAACCACCACCCTGCAATGAAAGCAGCCAGGGGCAGGAGTGGGTGTTGTGGGGGCACCAGCACTGGTCCCCGGAGGGGTAGGCACAGGGATCCACATGGCCTGGATGGTCTCAGCTTACGGGGTGCAACCAGGAAGCTTGGCTAGTTCTTCCTGCTTCCTCCTGGGCAGCAAACTTCCTGTGCTGAGGCGTGTGAGGAGGAAGCAGGGTTCTCTAGGATTATCCCACACCCTCCCCAACTGTCATGCGGCTCCATGTGAATGTTAACAATGTCCCAGGGGGCAGGAAGCACCCAGAGGTTTGGTGCTGCTGGTTTTGTTTGCTCTGAGCTTCTTCTCTCCATCAGGAGCCCTGCACAAACTGCCCACCCCTTAACCCACACAACAGTGTACCTAGCTCGCAGGGCATGCCACTGTGGGCACGAGGTACAAGGGCAGACCCTGTCCCTGCTGAAATGGTGGCAGGAGGGGACTGGCCCTTGGTGGCTCTCCAGAGGAATGGACACATACCGCTCTCGCTCTTCTCCACGACGTCCACCATGTCCCCTGTGGTTAGAGCCATCTCCGATTTGGAGCTCTTCTCGTAGTCAGCAATGGCACGGTACGTTTGCAAGACGATGGGGCCCGTGATGTCTGTGGGGGAAAAGTGAGAGACATTCCCTCTCCTGGCCCTCGGCACAGAAATACCCGATTTCAGGCAGGCCAAGAGCTGCCTAGGACAGCCCAAAGCACTCTCCCAGACTGTTTTGGGCCCAAACCAGCTGGATCTCAGGACATGGACTCATTTTCCCCAGGGCAGTGGTTTCCTCTCAGTGGCATCTCTGGCTCATGCCCCCTTGGCCAGGGTGTCTGCCGTGGGCAGCTCTTCTCGGCTCAGCCCTGCCCTGTCTTCCCTGGCACTGCCCCTTTCCCTGCTGGGTTTTTATGTTGCGGGGACAACTGCTCCCACCCCTCCAAGGCATCTTACCCGTGAGGCTCTTCTTGGCATCCTTTGGAAGGAGGAAGACCTCAGGCTTCTTGATCCTAGACGGGCCAGAGCAAAGTCAGCTCAACGCCAACTGCCCCTCGCCACTGGGGCAGCTGATCGCACCCAGGGCCAGAGGCGCAGGATTTCCCCCAAAGCAGGAGGCAGCCAGACTCACTGGCTGTCCGTGACAGGGTTCATGTCATCGGGACGCACTTTGAAGAAGTTGACTACGTGCAGGCAGCGGGAGATCTTGTGGGGCAGGTTGACCAGCGCATAGCAGTACTCGGCCAGTGTGCCCTGCCTGTTCTGGGTCGAGCGCTGCCCATCAAACCACTTTGGGGCTGTGGGAGAGGGGAAAAAGCAGATGGACCACCCTGCTTTTATGAATTTCCCAAGCAGGTTGCTTTAAATCATTAATTTTGCCCTGAAACCCGGTGGATTTGGCCCCAGAGTGCTGCATGGTGCCCATAAGCAGAGTTCTGCAGGAGCATGGTCCAGCCTCCTCCCTTGTTGCCCCAGCCCTGGACGTGGCAGAGGCACAGGTGGCCATGCACAGGGCTGAAAAATCCAGGGGAAAGCTGCCTGCACGGACATGGCTGTTTTGCAGAAGCATTGCAGCCGCAGGTTCCTCATTTCAGCAGTGCTGTGGCTTCCCCTTTTCAGCGGTGCGGCTGGGGAGGCCGACACGGCACAGCATCCAGCATGGAGGAGAGCTCTGTGCAGCCGGACTCGTCCCCCGCAGCCTCTGACCCTCGCAGAGCTTGTGCAAGCCTGGAAACAACCATGTTTGACCCCGATTCGGTTCTGGGATAACTCCTGCATCTGTGCTCAGCCTACGCCCAGCTGCTGGGCCACAAACCCAGTGACTCGGCTGGGGAGGCCGACACGGCACAGCATCCAGCATGGAGGAGAGCTCTGTGCAGCCGGACTCGTCCCCCGCAGCCTCTGACCCTCGCAGAGCTTGTGCAAGCCTGGAAACAACCATGTTTGACCCCGATTCGGTTCTGGGATAACTCCTGCATCTGTGCTCAGCCTACGCCCAGCTGCTGGGCCACAAACCCAGTGACTGCACCGGGGCACAAGGAGGTACCCAGCGCAGGGGGAGACACACAATCCTCTGTCCCACCGGCATACGTCCTGCAGCTGCTCCTGACCCCAGGACTCCAAAATGCCACTGGCAGCCCCAACCCACAGTAGCGTTGACCCCAGTGTGGGGGTCACACCCTGTCACTGAAGACATATTGCATTGCTTTCTCTTACAAAATACGTGTTGCCATAAGGGCACTAAAACCAATCCCAGTGACAGTGTCACTGAAGGAAGGCTCAGCTCAGGCTCCCCCAATTCAGACCCTTTGCCCTGGCCATGGGTTGCAGCCGATGCTGCAGGATGCATCCCCAGGGCAAGCGGCCTTTGGGGAGAAAGGACTGCGTCTGTGGGGCTGGTGAGTGTTGGGAGAAACCATTGCTGCTGCTCAGACCTTTCTGGGGTTTGGATTTCAAGCCCTGTGAGCAAGAACAGAAATTGCAGCACTCATCTCACTGGGGAATTTCCCAACCCGCTGCAATTTCTATTTCAGCCCCCAGCCCCGGCACCTGCCCCTCACCTGGCAAGTGTGGGATGATCCGGCTCTCCATGTTGATGTCCCCGGATTCAATGGGGAACATCTCCTTCAGTGCTTTCTGTGGAGCAGAGTCAGGCGGGGCGGTGAGGCTGGCATCAGGGGGGCCCCCCTGTGCTCACCCCCCCTCCTGGCTCTCGTGGTGGCTGGACCCTGCACCTCATAACTGGAAGAAAAGTGCCTGGGAGCACAGAGCCAGTGACTCCTCACTTCAAGGGGTGAAGCAGATTGAAGCACAGGGACCCAGGAGCCTCTTTGGAGCCAGGTTTGTTCTGGGGCAATTTGAGGTTGAATTAGCTGTCCTTTTTTTCCCCACCCCTGGTGCTCTGGGCCAAGGGTCACTGCCCACCCCAGGACAACTCACGTGGAACTCGTATATCTCAGTAAACCGGCGGTAGACAAGCTTTTCAGAGAGGTCGTTCCACTTCACCAGGAACATGTAGACCTAAGGGGCAAGGCAGAGGGGCTGCAGCTCCGCAGGTGAGTGCGACCCCGCACCCTCACTGTGGCCAAAGTCCCCAGGGAGCCCCACAGATGCTTCAGCTTCAGATAAACTGAGTGGGTTTTTTTTCAGCCCCCCCCAATGCAAGTAACTCTGCCCAGGCAGCAAGTGAGCTGGATCTAGGGAAGCTCAGCGGAGGGGACAGAAACATGCAGGAGGGTGGGAATCAGAGGGAAAAGCCCTTTCCAAGCCTGTGAAGTAAGCAACAGCTTGCAAAGGAGGTATCCAAAATCTTACACGTTCAGGACGTTTGAGCCTCTGGCTGCCTATGCCAGTCACCATGGCCCCCCCAGAAAAGCACGCTCTTAGGCCCTCAGCCACATTTGTCTAAAGAAATTTGCTGGTCAGGCTTTCTTCCAGCCCGTCCTCGCTACCCAGTTAGTCTGAAGGTTGCTGTGTACTCACATAGTGCTGGCTGGGGAAAAACCTTTTCTCATAGCCCAGCAGCTCGATGTGCCGGATGAAGGCATCCCCCATCGCTGCTCCCAGCTGCGACGTCCCACTCCAGCCCCTGCTCCTGTCTCCCTGGGCTCTTAGGTGTCCTCTCCTCCCTTCTGCCTTCGCACAGTTCTGCCTGGCAGTTAAAGCCCCCTGGGAAGCGGAAGTCCTGCTGCAATCACACCCGTGACTGTTCACCCGCTGTGGTTTGTATTGAGTCGATGTTTTCCGCGGGGAGTCCGGGGAGTCTCCAGCCCTGCCCCTCCAGCCGCCCTGGGGCTGCGGCGGAGGTGGCAGCGGGGAGACCTTGGGAATGCCCTGGAGGAACCTCTAAAATCAGAGAACAGAGAGGGGCCAGGGCCTCGCTGGCTGCCTCAATAACCAAGTGTCCCCTTTCACCCCATCATGGCACTGGCTGTTGCAGCAGCCCTTCCGCAGAGGGTCACGGGCCACGGGCAGTACAAGTGCTTTGGTAGTGAGACGAGAGGTCTTGACCCTGCTGAGCAGAGCGGGATGGGCTGAAGGAAGGGTGTGCCATGCTTCCCGAGCACAGGGACGGCACTGCCATCCTTCTGCGTGGCTCAGGGACCCCCCTGCGCTCCCAGGGGGGGTGGGGGCAAGGTGCGGATGGGACAGGGTGGCTGCAGACTGCACATGCAAGAGCTCCTGCCCGTATGTCACCCTTTCCTTTCTGTCACCTGCAGCTTCCCCAAAATCTGCCACCAAGACACCCTTGAGTGCCCCCCAAAAACCTGAGCCAGCCCCAGCGCTGCAGCTCTGCTCACTGCCTTACCCGAGCATGGGCCATGAGGAACCCCAGGGTGTGCTGGAGATGGACCCTGCCTCCCATGAGGAGAGCACGAGGGTCCCCAGCAAAGCCCCTCTGAAACAACACCACACCAGCATCCTTCTCCTCCACCCCCAGCTCCAGGGACAAAGGCCTGCAGGGATGTGAGGCTGTAAAGACAAAAGCTTGCTCTGGCTGCATTAAAAAAATAAAATACTAACTGTAGCTCTCCCCTGAATCTCAAGTACGGCACTTTGCAGGTGTCAAGATAAAAAATGTGCTCATTTAAATGCAGTTTCTTCTTATTTTAACACGGGGACTTCCCCATACGCAAGGCAAAATTATACAACCAGTAACATTAAAAAAAGATACCTCCAGGGCTGTGGGGATTCTGCTCGGTTCATAGCTGGATTGCTGCTGCTTAGGCTGAACTACCACAGACTTGATCATCAAAGCTAATTTTATTAACTATAATTGTTTCTACTAAATTTGAAGCTGCTTTACAGACAGCACATTACTGGAAATCACCGAATTTCTTCCCGTTTCCTCGTTCCTCATCTTCTGATGTGAGAAGTGAACCGGAACCTGCAGACCTCGCTGCAGGTGCTGGGTCAGCCCTCAGCAAGACAGGAGTGTGCCCAGCACGTGACATGGCTCTGCGCTTCCCCCCCTGCTCACAGTTACTAGGTGGCAAGAAGTGATTATAGAAGAAAATTCTCGGAGGAGCAATGACCCAGCTGATAAACAAGCCGAGTCTATGGACCTCATGAGCTGATTCCTGTTTTGGGAAACAAGGCTGGCATCTGAATGCAGGACCTGATTTTTGAGAGATGGAGAATTTCCCCCGGTCTCAACTTAGAGAGGTGGTAGCAGTGCTTTGCGGCAATGCACCACTGCTCTGCAGTGAGAACAGCAGGCACAGGACTTAAGCAGATGGATTTCAACCAAATTGCTGAAAATGAGCCACTGGAGGTTCAGAGCTTTTAGAAAGGACTGTCCTCTTTTCTGCAGCGCTCCACACATAACTAGTACCAAAACGTCCTAAAAATTAAAAGCTGAAGGAATGCTACCTTATTGTTTAAAATGTGATTCTGATGTTCCATGGTTTAAGCTTAATTCAATCCAGAGCCAAGGGAGGCCATGCTTAAGTTGCCGAGGGCGAGTGGCTGCATGCACCAACAGTGCTACATGCTCTGACAGCCGCTGCAAAATGACAAGTGTGTCCTCTTCCTCAGCACTCTGTTGCTGACAGGACAGAAACAAAAAGAAATGGAGGAGAAAAGGGTCAAGTTTTGCATGTGGAAGACTTCAGATCCCAAGGGAACACCACTGGCCAGCAGCTGCAGGAGAGGTGCCAGACCTCATCTGACAGCGAGCGGTGAGCGCAGTGAGAGAAGCTGGGGTGCTGGACCCGAGGAACGGCAGGCTCCAGCACGAACACCCTGCATCCCACACCTCTTGGATCCAAAATGCCTATTTTGGAGAAAGAAGCCAGCCCAAGGCACAAGACAGGCTTTTGAAGTTCAGTAACACATGGGGAATGAATACTTGGCTGCTGCTTCATCACCACAAGGCTTCTCTGCTGGAACAGAAAATTATTCAGAGCTCTGGTAACTTGTTGCAATTTTATTTATTTACTTGTTTATTAGTACAGCCAAGGCTTTTTAGGGTATTATCACTCAATACCCAAAGAGTGACACACCTCATGTATTACTAGTTTGGAAATGAGTGAGATTTGCATACATGGTCAACATCTTCAAAGTCTGCTACCTGTTAGGACTACATCTATAGCTAGGTATTTTTAATATAAAATTGCTATTTGGAAGAAGTAAATATTGGTGCAATTATTTCATCAGTCTAATTTCTCTCTACCGGATATAACTCAAAATGTCCAAGACCAAAAAGAAAGACTTCAGTGTTGAATGCCAACGCACCCATCAGCATTACTGCGAGCCCAGCAGCAGGCAGGACACAGTGCATCCCCACCACCCCAGCTCCCAGCACCACGAAGGATTCTTGTCCTTCCAGTAAAACCACTGCAGCAGCTTTCACTTCATTAATTTTTTCAGCTCCAGCATGCAAAGCACACAACACATCCGCAGGATTTCCACACTCCACTGTTACATACTTGAGTAGAAGTATTAATTTTCACAGTTCTTTGAGCGAGCACTAACGGCTCCAACAGCAGTACACAGCCCCACAGGGCAGGGCAGCAATACACAGGGCAGGGAGCTGTGCAAAAAGTGCCTCCTAAAGGCAGCTGCGAGCGACGCCGGCATGGATGCTCCTGCCTGTTCGAAAGGGGAAGTCGAGAGCCAGCTGCAAACCCCAGAAAAGCGACATTAACTCATTTCCCCATTCTAAATATTTCTAGCAGCAGTCACGGAATCGGTCATTGCCCTGAGAACAACCTGTTTATGTTAAAAGAGCACATCTGTTAAAACCACTTGGCAGTGAAATACATCAGTGGTTGTCATTTGGGACGGTACCCATATGGCTAAGAGTTCACAGGTAAGTAAATTCAATAGGCTCATTCCCTTGGGACTGAGATAGGAGCTGGAAGGCAGCACTGCATCAGCTACCACCAGTTCCCAGCTGGAGAGCTGGAAGGGACAACTGGGACGACCGTTTTCAAAATGGCTCAGTGCGGAGCTGACCCAGCTCCCTGCTGACATCAACAGCACAAGGTCTGAATATTTGAGTGGGAGCACGTAAACCTCCAAAAAGCAATTGTGAAAATGCAAGCACATATCCTACAGCTCTTCATTGCCTCTAGAGCGTCAGAGCATGTGCTGCTCTGAATTCACCTGCTGAATTTCGAGTTGCTCCCAAGGAACACACACCATATCCAATTAAATTTAACGCCTCAAAGTTTTCCTTGAAGATACAACCCGAGCTGGATTTCTGTCTGAAAGGCCTGACTGGAACTTATGTCCTTCACTGGAACGAACAGCTATGCTGCAGCATGTTCTACCTGCCTACAGAATTACTGGTAAAACTTGATTTGTTGTAAGATATGTAAACATATACTGCATGGACAGTCATGAAAACCATCAGAAAGGTCTTTATTTCTTAACCAGGGAATAAGTTTTACCATTTGTGCATAACACAGTCATCCCAAAGAGAAACCTTTACCACAATCTGTATCTTCCCTATAGATCTTATCATATATCGTATAGCCGGACTTTACATCTCTTACCATTTGTGAAACTTCAAAAAAAAATAAAATGCATACACTAGTCACTTACATGACGCGGGGCATAACCAGGACTAACTTTTGACTGGTAGTACTTAGAGCAGCTTGTAACATACGTTCCCATAACTAGTTCATCCCCCACAGCCCTCTGGAGAAAAGCTCTCACAGCTCCAGGTGCATTTTGCCTATGCTAGGACTGCAAGACCAGACCCATCATACACAAACCATGGGATACTCTGTTAAAACATGCACTTACTACTTTGGATTAATGGAACAAACCGTAACAGGGTTTAATTTCAATTGGTTCCTAATTCACACACTGAAATACTGACCGTTTCACAGTCCATCTCATTAACGCGTACTAACGCTCCAGTGAACCAGTGTATCTTTTATTTATGAAAAATATACGAATTGTGATAGATATCATAGGAAAAATTCAAATATACAGATACTATTGCCCAATCAATCATTCAAGGAGTAAGAACCAAAATTATTCTTGTTTTCCAAAGTAAAACTAACAAACTGAACTACTTGAAGGAGTTTTTCTTCATTAAAAAAGCTGAGATTGCATTCAGGTACGGTGAAATTCAGCTCTACTGGGAAACACAGACAGCCTCTGTTAAGTCCTTGTTGATTTTAATCCTTGTCATCTCCCCAGCATTGCTGCATCAAATTTAGTCCTTATAATATATTCCAAAGTAAAACCAGCCATTCCAAATCTACATACATTCTTTGCTTTAAGTCCATTCATAGAACTGCTGAAAAAGTAGACATTTCTATCTAAAAGTACAAAAAGGGTTTGTATAGAATGTAATTCTCTTATACAGTTATATTACACAGCTCAAGACAGTCCCAGCAGGCTCTTCTCAGAACTGGATGCTTCTGACTAGAAAAGAAAAATGATAGGAGTGAGTTAATTTCATTTCAACTCTGTATCTTATTACATATGAGTAGTTTGTGTTGCCTTTGAAGAGTTCTTTAGGCCTAGATTCAGAAAGCAAGCAGAGGCTGAATATTGCTCTCAATCAGTACGAGACTAAATGTGTTCCTGAGTGGTGCCTGCGAGAATTTAGACCAAATATTTTCTTTAGTATAAATTTAGTGGATGGCCTAACACATTCAAAAATCCAAACCAAGGCAGCATCAAAGCGTGCAGCCATTGTTCAGACAAAATTTCTGTGACTTTTAATGGACAAGTGAGATGGCTTTTTATATCTCCACTGAGTGAAGTGCTTCCTATGACAAATCAAGTCTTTCTTTGATCTATTTTCTCCAGTTTAAACTTTTGTTCAGTTTTATGCCAAATATTTCCATAGCAGACTTCACCCATTCATTAGGAAGCCTACTGCTGCACTTCTGATTCTCAGGGCACAGATGGTTGGGGCGCTGCTGGGTCAGTCTCTGCCAGGTTCCACCAAACCAGTTCTGGATTTGTCCCCTCAGTTCCTCATCCCGATGCCATCAGCTGCCCTCTGTGTACCAGGCTGTGGTTATGCCACATGGACAGAGGGCCGTGACCCAAACAGTACACAGAGGTTTTCTTCTCCGAGATGAGTACCATGTTTTTTTCTCAGTAAAGCTAGACAAGTTACAGCTCGAGTACACTAAACAAATGCATCCAACTTCGTATCAATCAAATCAAGTTGCTAAAGTATCAAACACTATACAATGAGGAGAATATTTGGTTTGGAGTACTGTCTGAAAATTGAAATGGGAAAATGTACCACAGAGCTGTGATAGCTTAAAACTGCCATTTTCTCTGCATGAAGCCGAAAGACTCACACCCGCGTGGGTCAGCCTCTCTGCACTGGGGGATGTGGTAACATCGCTTGCACTGTTCTCCACCTCCATCAAAGTGTCATTTTTAGGAATGAGTGAAGTTAAAAACAGTATAAAAGAAAGATCTGGACATTTTTGCGTTGTGAATTAAACTAAGCTTTTCATAAAATTTAATGGAAAAGAAAAAGCCTAAACTTTTACAGGACGTTGGTTTGTCATCACAGCTACTAGCTTCACCAAGTATCCCAAGCTTGGACAATATTGCAATCATAGTGAAGAGCTCTCCTGCTCAATTACAGTTTGAAAATATATAGGCTTTACCAAGAAGAAGAATGCTTTTTCACACAACCATGTCAGAGCTCTTCATAAACACTAATTCCCAAAGTTTTCATTTGCTTCGCCTCTGAGCCATGTAATTACCATCACCCATTCTTATTTACAGGCCCTATTTTCCTAGGACTGCCTGCCTCACAAATTTGAACACTTTGCTATACATTGTATTTGAATAGGGTAGCAAAAACATCCTGCATTTTACAGGTGAGAACAGAGACAAATAAGATCATCCACAGGTAAAGCACTGGAAGCTTCTGCCACTCAATCCTGTATCTTTGCCCTCTTCTCCCCACTACAAAACATAAAAGTATAACAATATTCTTTGACGGGCATTTACTTCAAGAAACACTGAATTCTTTTACCTAGCATTGAGGAGGTCTACCACGTTGGGTCTGGTTCTTGCTTTATTTGAGAATTTTCTTCTGTTTTTTTAGTATCTGTTGAAAAAGCAGTAATGAATGAAGAAAAAAGGAAAGATTTCAACTGATTTTGGTATTATTGTTGTACTGAAGTAAAATTACAAAGACACAAAAAGCATTCCTTTATACTAAGGATATATAAGCTATTAACATATATTGTTAATATAAGCTATTAACAATAAATAAAAACAATACCAGAACAATCTGATTCTGTGGAAATTACTTCAAAGTAAAGCAGCCTGGGATCTTAGAGAGCTCTAGTTTTTAAAGAGCAGAAATAAAAATTGGTATTCGAAGTGTATGAAACTTAAAAAATGTTTTTAATGTAGCTGAAATACTGGGCAAGAGAAGAACTTAATCCAAAAAACCCCAACAAATCGTCAGATACATCACTGCTTTGGTCTGCATCCCCCTTTTCAGTCCTCCTCCCTCCTGTTCGTCAAGCCCCAGCATTTCCCTCCACCCACCTCACCAGATGCACAGAGCGGGCTGCAGCGTTTCAAACGCACAGGTAATTCTGTAGCCTGACTTCAAAGATCAGGCATGACCACCGCTTCACGGGTTTTCAGATGCTGTTTTCCAAAGCCAGCTATCAACAGCTGAATGTGCTTGTGCTCAAGTCACGCCTTCAGGGTTAGTTATTAAATTAACATTCGCTGCACAGGCTCTTGCTTTCACAGCACTGACTGCTATTTCAGATTTCTTTTTCCCTCTGCTGCTTTTCTCAGCTAGACACAGACTTCTGCATCATTATATTTCAATCTGTCCAAAACTAATCTTGACCCCAGCTAATTTTTCTTCTTCAGTGCACAGTGCCACATAGGAAGGCATTATGATATGCTTAAAAAAAAAAAAAGAGAAATAAATTTTATCTTGTTGGCTACAGCATTTATCATCTTTTGATATGATGGTTTTTTTTCGTTTCCAGGAGACTTCATTATGAAATCTTTGCTTTTTCTTGTTTACAGGGATGTCTGGAGGTAAATCAAAGAAATCTCACGCCTGTATATCACTGCCTACATGACCTGGAGCCTGATTCTTTCTATAAACAGAGAATCTGATGTTGGAAGGAAATTGTCTTTCCACTGAAGTTGCTCGGAAGGTTTGGGGTTAGGGTAATTCATCGCTACAAAGCCAAGCCATTTCACCACACGATCATTTTATACCTTCCAGCTTAGTTCTGAAGTGATTTTGAGTTCTTCAGCAACCGCATGTCTTTTCCCAAGATCATTCCTCTGGTTACTGGCTCTGAATCCAGTTTTGGATGAAAAATTAAAAAACATGCTTGCCTATTCCTTCAAAAACATCACTTTGCAGGCCTATAGCCAGATTTTCTCCACATGAGGCTATTCAGGAAAAACAGTCTCTCTCCTCCATCAGCTAATTATTTCAGTGACCTCACATAGTTTTGGCATTATAAAGACATCCGATGTTTCAGCTTTCAATAACCGTGAGCTTAAACTCCGCAGCTCAGCTCTTCTATGACTCTAACATTTCCTTTCTTTTTGTCTTGAGTGTTGCAGTGGGATTAATCTATATTCTGAGAAAGACCTACTCATAACACTCAAGAGTGAACCCACAGTGCTCAGTGACATGCCAGGGAAACCGAAGCAACGGGGACTAGAAAGGGCATTTCCCTGGAACAGGATGCAAAGAATGGGAGTGCTGCAACTTGCTGCCTTCTCTTTCGGGGGAACCTAAGCAGGATTAGGGAATGACCTCAAGTTTGGTGATAACAAGTCCTGATGCACAGCAGCCTCCATCCCAGTGCTGTTAGTTATGTTGCCGTTAAGCTGGTACTGACACATTGGAGAGCCCTCTCAGGACTACCTGGTGTTAAGGCAGCATCCCATCAAACTGGCCCAGCACCTCGGATCCCCCACGCCAGCCATGCCAGAGGCAGCCCCAGCCGTGCAGGGCCATGCTGACAAGCTGGGTCTATAGGAAAGACAGGAGCAGAGCACACAGCAGACACCAGCACCCAATTCTCAGGTCAGTTTTGGGTCAGAGAAGACCACACACAGAAGCACAGTGGGGGTAGAAAACCTTGGTCTCACAAATATCAACATCTGAAAAAGACCAAACTCAAGTATATTCTTGGAGAAGAGGAAAGTTGGGCGTTGGGTGTTTTTCAGAGCGTAAGTTCTGGAACAACAACAATACTCACCCTCTCCAACACACCCTCTCGCAGTACATTCAGGCCAATGTGGCATTCAAATTTCCTGATGATAGCAATCATTCACTTGCAGAAATTGTAGAAACTACTGCGCTGAGTAACTAGATGCATTGCTCAGGATATGAGCAACCACTCAAAGCCTATATATAGTCATGACTCACCAACCAAGAACAACATTTCATGAAACTCCTTTGTAAAATTATTTGAGTAATAACTTTTGCTGCAGGGTATGTTTCACAGGGTGCAGCAAGATATTAATAGAGACGAAAAAAAGTCCTGGGAACCAGTGAAAGCCCTTTTTAAAAAAAAACAACTGACCTTTCTTTCTTTAAAAGAAAAAAAAAGAGCAACTTTGTTCAAAATAACTTAAAAATATTATTTGATAATAACTAAAGACAAACACTTACCTCCTACAGATTCTTTTATTTGGCTTGGTTCAGCTGGCTCTTAAATGAAAAAGATACAGTCACATAAATATGAACATAGTTTCAACAATATAGGATAATTATCTTAGAAAAAAATGAGGGAAATTAAGTTCTCTCTGAACAAAAGGCCGCACTTTTTCCTCTTATGATCAGACTCGAGTATCTTTGAGATAAATGTGTGTATCTATAGAGTCTGTGGCAAGATATAAAAAACTACTCTAACATTCATTACATTACACTAACTTTCTCTTCCAAGTATGGTTCACTGTGTCAGACGGATCACCAAGCCCTAGCAGAACATAACATGCACTTGCACAGAATATGCCAAGTTTGGACCAGCTTTACTCCAACTGCATAAATAGAAAACTGTACGTAAAAAAAAGTACCACCTCTGGCTCATCTTGTCCTCAGTGGCAAGCATGTACATTTTGGGGGAGAGTGGGAAGGTGCAGAATAGACTGCAACAGTATGTTTTGTTCCCATAATGATTTTTCTGTGATCTATGTTGATGGATTAGAGATGGATGGGGGCTGGGAAAGCCATTTAACATCTTTAAGACTGTGTGTTAGTTAAGGAGAGATAAACTACAGTAAATTCACTGACCATCAGCAGCTGTCTTCCTCCCTTCCACCACCTCCAAATGTAAACAGAGGAGCCAGCAGTTTCCTTTATAACTGTTTCCACCATACAAGTGTCCCTTACTCTTAAAACATTTAGTGAAGGTTTTCTCTTAGTTTCCCGGTTTCTTTGAGTAACAGTGTACTCAGTTAATTGCAAAAGTCTTCCCTGCACTACACCAACTTTGGATGCACGTTTTCAAAAGGTCTGCAGACATTTGGAAACCATATTGGGTCAAAAGGAAGTTTCTCAACAGCATTTACTTTAGCTACTCATTGCATAAAACTAAGTTCTCCATTCAGGTTCAGACAGGTGATGTTTGTGCAGTCTAGACACAGTCCAGCAGGGGTTACAGAGCTGTGTAGTGGACAGAGATTCCAGCAAAACCCCATTCAAGGTTCTTATACATTACACTTCAAACTTCAACTTGGCTGAACATCTATCTGGCACAGACACACATACTTTGAGTTAAGCAGACAGCAATAAATGGATACAGAACTGGCTTTATATATTGCCCCTACTAATCCTTCTTTTCAGCTCACTCATCACCTGCAAAAATCAGATCAAAGAACACGCCAGTGACACAGCTTGAGGGAAGTAATGGCTCCATTAATTTATTAATATGTAATAGCTATAAAAGTCACTGTCACAAACCATCTGTCAAAATAAAATGGCTCATCACGAGCAGTGTGTACTCAGGACATGACTACTTATATCATCTGCCAATAAGACTGAAAAATCATAGGATGGTTTGGGTTGGAAGGGACATTAAAGATCATCCAGTCCAACCCCCTGCCATGGGCAGGGACACCTCCACCAGACCAGGATGTCCAAAGCCCCGTCCAACCTGGCCTTGAACACTCCAAGAGGGGCCATCCACAACTTCCCTGGGCAACCTGTGCCAGTGTCTCACTGCCCTCACAGTAAAGAATTTCTTCCTAGTATCTAGTCTAAATCTAGTGTAGATAGATAGATTAGATAGATAGATCTAGTGTAGATTAGTCTAGATACTAGGAAGATCAAGAACTCCATACCCTACCCCTCCTGCAAGGACAGTGCGTAACACTCTGCATCACCTGGTGGCACTGGTGGTGCTGCTGCTGCTGCTGGTGCTTTCGGCGGTGCTTCTGCTTCAGCTTTTTCCATCAGCTCTAAGATTAGACATGAGCACTGTTTAACTTCACAATGAAAATGATCCCACATGTAACACAAGGGCAATCTTACCTCTTGAATCTGCAAATCCTGACACTTGTGTCACATGAACAGGTTACCAACACTTGTGACTGAGCTGCAGTTCAATACTTTTTGTTATAGGAAAAAACCCATTTCCTATTTTGCCTGCATGCACCAAAAATTTCCTTGCAAGTTCTCAGATGTTCTTCAGAACAAGACTAAAGAATCATACCTACATAAGCAGTAGGCTCAGAGCCTCTCAATCATTCACCTTGGTATCTATCAATAACAGATAATTTTGATCATAATTAATGGACACGGACACAGCATAAAAGTCACATATTCAAAGACTAGTCTGCTCCTGCAGTGATGGAAGATGACTGGATGTCTGTGTTTCTCTAATTAAGCGTGTTAGCTAGCCTCAGGCCTACACATGCTGACAGTTATGCTGGACAGACAACAGTTTAATAGATTATTTCATGTCTAATTCCATTCTCTGCAGATGCTATTACACATTTATCTGCCTGCAAGGTTCCCTCTTACAAAGGGATCTCTTGCCCATCTCAGGTGGTATGCCTAGGACTGGTGAGCAGGTCAGTGTGAGTTTTGAGTTATGAGATCTTCCCAAGAACACCTCATACTTGCAGTTGATAGACCTCAGCATGCTAAGCTGGAATACATTGGTGGCTGGATGCAAGTGAGTGAACGCTGGGTCTCTAAGGCTCTAAGGTCTCAGGCTGCGTAAGGCCAAATAATCGACAGCAGGTTATTTGGCCTCTGAATTTCTAATCTGACACTGGCTCAAAAAGAACATTACACAAGGGACACTGTAATGACAGTGTTTTGCAGTTGGTTTTTTTTTTTTTCCTCTTAAGATCTAAAAAACCAGGTCATAATTACTTTAGGGACCTGAAAATACTATGACTTTTTTTTAATTCCTCCTAAACAAATTCATTAACACAGCCAAACTGGCCACAGCACTTCACACTCTGCTTCTCTAAACTGCTTCTCTCTAAACTCTGCTTCTCTAAACTCTCAAATTTCAGCAGAATGCAAAATTTTTCACTGACACGCAGTTGTGCAGCTACTGGAAGGTTCTTGCTTATTAACTGCTACTGCAATGCAGTTGAACCTAAACCACAGGCACTCCCATATAAGGGTCCAGTCAGAGTCCTAAATCTCTTGGGAAGTCTGCAGCTGAAAAAGACAAAGTCAGTATTTTGCATTTTCACGTCAAAGTTAGTGCTAATCTTATACTGTTCTGTGAATTTATCACACTGCTCTAAAGCTAGTTGCACATGCATGTTTAGTCAGGAAATTTTAATGATACAGACACAGACAGGAGTACACATACACTGTGAAGCCTCTGCCACTAAGCCAAAATGTAGAAAAGCAATCTTGGTAGGTTACAAAAATACATTTGCCATCAATGTCTCATAAATACTTACGATTGTTAATCACAAGTCCTGGAAATGGTCTGGAAAATAAATAAATCAATCAATCAATCCTGATTTTAAAACATACTGCATGGGGTCTCCCTCCCAAGGCACCCTCACCGAATCTCTTGTAAGAGAGCTCATGCTATTAAAAGAATAGAAAGTCAAAAAACCCACGAAGGAACCGTCATAGCAGTTCTTGGGCCCCATGGTTTGTTTGCTAGCATTTTGAAAATTAACATAACGCAGAAAGACCTAAATCCTTCCCTTGCTCACCACTAATTAACAAGGGACTCACCTATTCTTCAGAGCTCAATGACACAAAACGTATCAAGCAAGAGACCTTTCAGTTCGAACACTTCATGATTAAGGGTTAAGAATTCAGACCCCTTAATAAAATATGTTTAAGAAACTTCCCTCTCTCTCTAAAGATAAACTGAAGCTTTTAGACTCCCGTGAAGCAGCCTGTGATTTGAGAAGTTACATAAACGGACACATTTTTATTTTCAATTCCTGAACTCTTTAGTAGGATTCCAAAATTCCACCTATTCTGCTTCGTGCATACCAATATACTTTGTATATATGTGTGCATATATCCTTATGGAAATATATCAACACAAATAAAATTCACTTATACTGTAATTGGACAATATTGTATTTTTAAATATTGTAGATAAACTCATTTTGTAGGGGAAGAAAACATTTATCAAAGAGCTTACCTTAACCCAGGATTCTTAACACAACTGAAATATTTTAAAAATATTAATAGCAGTACTACTATAAACACACGATTTACTGTGAAGAGCCAACAAGCTCTGAACTTGTCTCAAAACTTGACCTTATAAATGGGAGAGTAAGGCCCACAATACTTTCCGGGTCTGGTATTTAACATGAATAGATTTCAACTGGAAAGACAGCTTGCTGTAAGACGCACTAGGAACAGTATGTCAGTTGTCATACTAAAACTGGACGTGTCCTCTGAGAAGTTATGATCCTCATTCATGCTATGAACACTTGGGCTTCATTTGACCTGATATATGGTTATCCAGAAGTGCCAAAATCTTGCACTACTTAAAAATGCCCTGCAACTTCTTTCAAATCTCAATTTATCCAAGCTACAGGGCTGTCCTCGCAAAGTCTGTACAATCTAATCAATGGCAGCGACTTACCGAATAACAGTAAATTTGATAAACTCTGCTGACTCCAAAATCTTCCTCATTGAGCTGATTTCCAGATAACTGGGAGCTTTAAATACCACTCCAGGAGGCAACCCGTCCACCACCACACAGCCAGGGTTGATGGTGATTTTCCTGTACGGGACTTTCACAGGAAAATTCATACCAGTGGCTTCACCTACGTGAGAGAGGCCACGTTTATTTTCAAGTCTACATATTTATGATTACACTGAAGAAAAACTCCTCAGATTAAAAACTAAATGCAAAGCCCAGCTTTCCATCAGATCTGATACTATGAAAATTCATTTGGCAATGAAACAGTTACAGCAGTAGAAACAGATGTTCTGGATTACACTCATGAACATTGCTACGAGAGCCTTAGTTACAACTCCAACTCAGACAGCTCACCATATAAAGAACCCAGATTCTGTTTTTACTAAGAAATGGTATAGAACAGGATATCCAAGGATATATCTACATGAAGGAAAAACAAAGCACTTCCTGCAATGCCATGAAAAGCACTAGCAAAGGAGTTTCAGATAAAGAAACTCGGGTCGTTATTGCTGTACGATGCAAATACAAAGTAAAAAAGGGAAACTATCTGCATCAGAAAGGTTAACTTGCATATTTTTAAATTATTCTAGTCCCAAGTATTAAGAGGTCAGGATTATGAAGCTGTAAGAAGAATCATGGCTTACCAGCAAAATAAATATTTCAACCATATTTACAAAGAAAGAAAGAGGAACTCAAGGGGGGAACGGGACATAAAGCAATCAATACTCTTAGGATTTTTTGTTTAAAACACCAGCTAACTTACATCACTCATAAAAGATTCTTTTTGAAGTCAAAACACAACATTCATATGAAATTCTCAAATTTGTTTATTTTAATGAGCCTATATATCATCTCCTGTGATGATGCAGAAACTTCAACATGAACAACGCTACTTGCATTTACAACTACGGAAAAATGGGGAGTAAGAAGCAATTACCAAATTTCCGGCTAAAAAGGTCATTTACTTGCTCTCTCAATTGTCTGATCTTTTCTACTTTCGACAGTCGCTCATTTTCATCATCTGGAATAAATTGTTAAAATAGTATCAGAATTAAGCAGATTTTTTTTTCCCTGAAGCTTATTTCTCATAGCATGTTTACTCAAAGCAGGTATATTTGAGTGCTTCGAAACAGGCACTTTATTCCTAGTCTTAGCAGTAACAGAATTGTAGAAACACGCAAAAATAGATGGTTGCCAAGAAATCTGCAAGAAGCTTCAAAGTGTTTACATATCCAACACACAGAATCACAGAATCACAGAACGT